GGGGAAAACATGTAAACTAAATGATCTAAAAGGGGTTCAATGAAAATTTACCCAGCATTTAATTCTGTTGCCCACACCCACCCACATCACCTAACRGTTAGAAGTCACAGCCAGCATTAACCACATAGTTGGATGATAACACCAAGCAACAACTAACAAAGGTCTGTTTGGTAATTTTATACATTCAAGTTCTCCTCTCTCCAAGAAAGACAAAAAGTAGCATATATTTAGAGAGAGAATCACCCACACATAGTGTATATTTTAGATAGAGAATTAGAGACCTTAATCATACAAGTTTCAAGCTATAGAAAGAAAGTAAAACAGATGGAGGGCAAGGAAGAGGAACAGAAAAAGATTTTGCAAATGAGGGTTTTGGTCGAAAAGCAGGATCCTGCCTCCAAGGTGAGTCTGTCTCTATGATCCTATCAAATGGTTAAACCATGTGTAAGGGGCTGTTTGGTTGGTTCCCATTTAAGTCCTGTATAGATAAAGTTGACTGTGTGGATTAATCTGTCTGTATAGATTGAGATGTTTTTTTGTTTGGGAGGGTTTGTTTCATCATAAATGGAATGAGCGTGTTTTTTAATTGGAAGGGGTAAGTTCGGAAATAACTTGGCTTTCTGCATAACGTTCTCCCTAAAAGCTTACTGAATAGGCCAGTTTCATCATAGATTTCCATTCTTTGCAGTTTATTGCATTAATGATTGTTCAAGATTGTACTGAACTTAGATGTATCATGTTAAACACTCCCTCAGTCCCACAATAAAATTCCCTTTCCAGTTTTAGATTTTCAGCACCAAGATGATCATATGATGATTTTATTTAATATGTTAACCAAGTTTTTCTATCAATCCAAAACAATTGCATCAATTCTAATGTCAAGATTTAAGAAGGAAACACATTTGACACTTAAAATATGGGATCTATTTTTTTGAAGTATATAATATTTATATACGACAAATAGAACAAATAAACTCACATACCCATCTTACCTTTGGTGAGATTTGAACCCCTGACCTCCTAGGAGGCCAAAGACTCACATACCACTAGGCCAAAAATCTTTTTTCTAATTTTTCATTTGACAGAACATAATACAAGACGATGGATCTGTCAAAAGGGATGAGATCAATTGCATAACAAAAGAATGATATCTTAACAACTTAAAATGATAAAGTTCCCTCAAGACTTTTAGGTGGTGCAAGTCACTAGATTTGCAAATTTGGCACTGTTTCCTAGCAAAAGGAGTAAATGTGAATGTGCATCGGAGATATTAAGCATATTAACAGGAAAGAAAAAAAAAATACAACTTCATCCTAGGGGTTGTTTGGTTGGTTTTCCATCAAGTCCTAAATATCGAGAATGTTAGAATGTTTTTGTTTGGGAGGATTTTTTCATAGATGGAAGGTGCGTGGTTTTAATTGGGAGGGGCATGTTTGAAAAAAGTTGGACCTTCTGCATAAAGTTCCTCCTAGAAGCTTACTGAATAAGCCATTTTYTATATCATTAAGCCACTACCAAACAGTCATCTATAGCTAGCTGAATAAGCTGTGAGTCCCATTAAGCTCGTTAAATTGCTAACAAACAAGCCCTATATCACTCTAATGACTTGAATTGTACCTTAGGAGTGTGATGATGTGACAATCAGAAGATTTCTTCGTGCTCGTGATCTGGATATAGACAAAGCAAGTGCTATGTTTTTAAAGTACCTGAAATGGAGAAGAACATTTGTTCCAAATGGTTGCATCTCTGCATCAGAAATCCSCAATGAAATAGCACAAAACAAGTTGTTCATGCAAGGAAGGGATAAAAGTGGACGCCTGATAACTGTTGTGTTTGGTGGCAGACATTACCACAACAAAATAGGAGGTCTGGAAGAGTTCAAGCGTACGTTCTTAAAACTTAAACCACATATGTTCTTTGATCTGTCYTGCATATGTTTCTAAATCAGTTGTGACTGCATCACAGGTTTTGTCGTCTTCACACTAGAAAAAATATCTTCAAGGTACATCATCTTGATTCACAAGTTCTCTTTCAATTGGAATTCGCGTTTGGTTCACGGAATATTTTTGGAAAGAATGGAATTGTTAAAAAGGAATTTAACTTTGAAGGAATTGGAATGAAAATGCCGCCACGTTTGACCACCTATTTGGTTGACAAACATTTGAATGGAATCTGTTAAAGAAATTGGAATATGTCTGTTTGGTTACAGAATGTAACTTTGGAATTAGAATCTGTCTGTTTGGTTCACAAAATGTAGCTTTGAAATTGGAATGAAATATTGGTAAATGACCAAAATGCCTTTTCTTGAAAATTTTAATTTTTTTAAAACTAAAAATATTTTAATAAAATAATTATTTAATACGTAAAACAAGATAAAATAAACAACCCAAATATAACCATAAGTCAAACGACGTTACTAAATCAAAGATGGTCGGCGGTGGTTCAGATCGGTGGTGATCCGCAATGGTTCAGATGGTGGTGGTCGGCAATGGTTCAGATCGATGGTGGTTCGCGGTGGTTCAGATCGGTGGTTGTTCAAATCGGCGGTGACGGCGATGGTTCAGATCGGTGGTAGTCGCCAGTGGCTGGCAGTGGTTCAGATAGGTGGTGGTCCATGGTGCTTCAGGTGGCGGTGGTCGGATGTGGTTCAAATCGGGGATGGATCAGATTGGTGGTTGTTCAGATCGGTGATGGCCGATGGTGGTTCAGGTCAGCGGTGGCCAACGGTGATTCAGATCGGTAGTAGTTGGTGGTGATTTAGGTTGGTTGTAGTTGGCGGTGGTTCAGATGGTGGTCCATGGTTGTTCAGATGGCGATAGTCGACAGTGGTTCAGATCGATGGTGGTCCATGGTGGTTCAGATGGCGGTGAACGACGGTGGTTCAGATCGGCGGTGGCCGACGGTCGTTCAGATCAGCGGTGGTTCAGAGCAGTGGTTCAGATCGGTGGTAGTTGGCGGTGATTCAGTTGTCGATGGTCGGCGATGGTTCAGATGGTGGTGGTCGTCGGTGATTCAGATCAACAGTGGACGAATGTGGTCGACGATGGTCATATTGGATTTTATGAGATTAGGGTATATTGGGTTAAGGGCATATTTGAAATTATGAAAATAGAGAATTCCATTTCATCAAAATAACATGTATTTGCTAAGGAATATTAAATTCYTTTATTTRTGGAATTTGTAAGATTTTGAAGATTCCTTTCGTGAAAAAAAATGAACCAAACGAGGGAATGGAATTCAACATTCCAATTCCAACAGATTCCTTAAGAATCTGCAAACCAAACGCCCTCATGAAAAAAGTTAAACAATACTCTCTCCATCCCAAAATAAGGGGTCGTTTGGTTGATTTTTCATTGAACTGTATGAATAAAGTTGTTTGTGTAGATTAATCTGTCTGTATAGATTGGGAATGTTTTCTCAAGAAGCATGTTTTTTAAATAGGAAGGACAGGTTTGGAAAAAACTTGGTTTTATGCATAAAGCTCCCCCTAGAAGCTTTGAATAAGTCATTTTCTATATCATTAAACCACTACCAAACAGTCATGTTTAGCACCGAATAAGTTGTGAGTCCCATCAAACTCATTTAACTGCTAAAAAGGAGGCCCTAAATATCTACTTTCAAATTCTACCCTTATAATGAGATGGAGAAATTAATTACTCCCTTTATTATTAAGGGTAAAATTGTCCATCATTAATTTACAAGTGTAATAATTATACATTTCTAAAACTCTATGTCTTTTCGTTCTAGACATTTATTTTGGGATGGAGAGACTAGGGAGTACTTTCTAGGCTTATTTGAAAGAAATTTACTTGATAACCAATATCTGAAAATTGATTATCAGGATGCCTCCAGGCCAGGAAAAGTTTGTGGCTATCGCAGATATTCAGGGATGGGGATATTCAAACAGTGATATGCGTGGATATCTTGCCTCGCTCTCTATTTTGCAGGTTCGCAAGCATCTCACTCTGTTTGCATGCATGCAGGATAAGAATACCAAATTCATGTGTATTTTTGCGTAGTCTTTATTTCCATATATTTTTATAGTTGCATCATGATGGCCTAGAATGGAATGATGGTAATTGTAACATCCTAGGCTAACCATACCAGATACTGTCAGTTTTGTCCACACTTGGAATCACGGTTTAACGCGTCGGGTAGAGGAGGTATTCAGTCCCTTATAAGACAACCTTTGTTCCCCTCCCCAACCGATGTGGGATCTTACAGTCCACCTTCCTTGGGAGCCCAATGTCCTCGTTGGTTCCCGGCTCTGATACCATCTGTAACATCCCCGGCTAACCGTACTAGATACTGTCAGTTTTGTCCACAACTGGGACTTGCGGTTTTAAAACGCATCTCGAAGAGGAGGTATCAAGTCCCTTATAAGGCAACATTTGTTCCCCTCCCCAACCGATGTGAGATCTTACAGTATTGGCATAAGTTAGTTTCTGATGTAGAACATTGATGTTTTCACAGGATTATTATCCGGAAAGACTTGGAAAAATGTTTGTTGTGCATGTTCCTTACATATTTATGGCAGCATGGAAGATGGTGTATCCTTTTATTGATGAAAAAACAAAGAAAAAGGTAAGCTTGTCTGCATCTCAAAGCAGTAGCTTGTTATCACTGTCATACATGTGAAAATTAGTGGCCACCAAGATCAAGCACACAAACCAAACGGCCATTGGCCCTGCGGTACTTGGTAACTCCACCTTCTTGGAGGTCAGGGGTTCAAGTCTCACCAAATGTGAGAAAGTGTGTATGAGTTTAATTCTTTCCATATATAAATATTGTATACATAAAAATCAAGATTGATTGAATTTAGCTTTTACCTTGCAGATCGTATTTGTTGAAAATAAGCAGCTGAGATCTACACTTCTGAAAGACATTGACGAGAGCCAACTTCCAGAAATTTATGGAGGCAAATTGAAATTGGTACCCATCCAAGATAGCTAGTTTAGTCAACAGTGCACTCATTCCATTTATCTCTTCATCTTGTTCTTCCTCCTAAGATCATTATATACCGGATATGGTTGCAAGTACCTGTTGTTTGTAATGTGAAATGCTATGAAAATGGTTGGATTCAGAAAACTATAAATTTTGCAGGCAATATCATGTAATCATGAAGAATAACCATGAGATATCAACATAAACCCCATCTAAAATAATAAGAATATGTCCTGTACCAGAAAAGGAACCTCTTACCTTCGTAAAAGTCCAAGTCTCATTAGTCTCCTCTTCATGATGCAGATGCATCCTACTTTGAGAAGTCCTTTATCACATGGCATGTTTTTTGTTTAAGCATACACAATTGCAGATTTAAGCCCGTAAGAAGCTTACAAACGTGAGCAGTACTGCAGCTGTGTAGATTAACTGAATAACAACACATAATATCCACCATCAAGATGAACTCCCTTAAGCAACACAATAGCGATACTTGATGACGAACTTAGAGATTTTGGAAAAATGTGTCTTCTCTTCGAGTTAAATTTTCATTATATAGTTAACATACAAGCTGATTGGTAGTCTAACATACAGAAAAATACAGAATTTTAGCCTATAAAACAGCTTATATGTATATATCCAAATCTAGGAAAAGAAACTATTTACAAAATATTGACGATAAAAGCATATATTCTTGGCTTGATTTGTTATAAAATCTGGTGCTCACTTGATCTGTTGCAGCATAAAACCTGGTGACTTCTAATAATCAACTAATATCTTTGACAATTGAGCCAATTAAGTTGTTGGTTCTTCATAGAAACCTTAAAACAATTTGGATTTTAACAATATGTGCTTTTTAATATCGTCAGGCTGTCTCAGGTGCAGCCCCACTTACCCAACAACAAACCATACTCGCTTTTTGCACGTTGCTTGGAGAAGCCAAATCCGGATATTTCAATGTTGAGTATCAGAAAAACTCTGGAACCTCCCATCTCCCCTGCATAACATCAATTTAGTGAAGTTTACAACTTACTAAAAGCTCACCAGCTACCAGCCTGATAAGCTACCAGTAATCTCCACAAGAACACAGACCATCTTCAAACCGATGAAAGCGGATTCGGTCCCTCACAATGATTACCCTTTTCAATACTTTAGAAACCAATTTCATCCAAGAGTGACAGTCAAGACAGGTCCGCAGATTCTTTGAAACCTGGATTTCAGATCCAGGACTTGATTTTAGAATGCCATAGGCCAATGCCAACTTTTCACTGTGATAAGTCAGATTTTCCTCCTTTTCCTCCTCAGATATATCCATTAAAACCAAGTCTGTAACAGAAACAAACCCTTCCTCTCTGATACGACCCATCAATGCTTCAAGCACCATGTAAATTGATTCCGTTTCAGAATGTGATCTGTCTCCGGCTTTAAATTGGTGAATAGCTCCACCAAATTCAATCCAACTCCTTCCCCTACTCTTTTTAACTCCCTTCTTTTTCATCATATGCCTGACTTTTGCAGCAGCATCCCATTTACTTACAGAGCAATAAGTGTTAGATAGTAAGACGTAATCTCCACTATCAAGATGTGATAATTTTGAAAGTGCAACTTCTCCCAACTCAGGATTTCTATGTGTTCTACAAGCGCTAAGAAATGCTTTCCATATAACAACATCAGGGTCTATTGGCATCCCCTTGATTACTTCATAAGCTTCTTCTAGGAGCCCAGCTCGACCAAAGAGATCGACCATTGATCCATAATGTTCAAGTTGCGGCTTAATCAGATATTTCCTACTCATTAGATCAAAATACTCCCGCCCGTGTTGAGTCAAGCCACAATGACTACATGCAGTTAAGAGTCCAACAAAAGTAACTGAATCAGGTAAAATATTATCAGCTTCCATCTCTGAGAAAGTTGCGACAGCGTCCATAGCAAGACCATGCATTGCTAGCCCATTAATCATGGAATTCCAAACAGAAACGTCATCGTGTTTCACGCTTCTAAAAATCGCTTTTGCTGTTCCAATTTTTCCACATTTCGAGTACATGTGTATGAGTGCAGAACTCAAAATAAAGTTGAGTTCGACCCTTCTTTCAGTTAACAAACCATGTATCCACTTAGCTAGATCCAGAGCTCCAACACGAGCACATGCAGTGATAATGGATGAAAATGTAAATTTATCTGGCTCCACATTGGAACTCAACATCTTTCTGAAAAACCCAAATGCCTCCTGAAAGCGTGCATTTCTAACAAAACCTCCTATCATTGTGTTCCAGGACACCAGATCTCGTTTGGGCATCTTTCGGAACATCCTCTTGGCAAAGTCAATGTCTCCCATCTTTATAAAACTTGCAATGATCAAATTGAAAGAAACCACGTTGAAATTCCAATAAGGAACGTCATGAAGTAATTGACGAGCAAAACTATGATTAAAAGACATATATGCTCTAACCAGCAGTGATGTGAGAGATGGGCTTGCTTCGTAACCAAGTTTAATGATTATTGCATGTGTTCCGATAACAGCTGTTGAGTTTCTTGAAAATTTGTACTCTTCCAAAGAATGCACCAGCAATTTGTGGTCTGAAAATGTTGTCCCATAAAAGCAGGATCGTTTTAAACCACAATAAGATAAAACCAGCAATCCAGTGTCTAAAACCATTACCATTAACTGAAAATGAAAATGTGTCTTTTCAACAAGGCATTAGGTCATTATAGTACTACATGAAATCAATAATAATCAAATAAAAGAAGCTCAAGACCTATAACGATCTCAAGCAGAAGTTAATAAACAACGTTAACACCAAAGAAACTCCATGTGCCGGTCCAACACTTCTATTACTCCCAAAATAGAGTGCACTTTATAGATCATAAGGACTAATTTATGAATCCAAATGGATTTTAATCTAACACCAGCATTAGTATGCCAAAGGTAGACGCCATGACTATCCAATGAAAATAAAGAAAGAAAAGTATCAGCAGACCTGCGACTGTGCGTCGAAATACGTTGTATGAGAGTAAATCCTAAGGAAAGTGCTCGCAATCCATCACATAAATATATGCAGTTACAAATCAATGAAGTTAAATTTGTCTCGGTGAGTCTATGAGAGAAGGAAAGGCGGATAACCTGAAGGTTTTTTAGAAGGAAATTCGATAATGGATGCTGAGTGGTTCGAACGCCATGGCCAGACACAGATACGCTTCTTCGGCCAAAAAATCCGTTTAATAATCTCGCTCCTCATTATCTCTGATGGATAGAGTATGACTTCCGGTAGAAAACACCGGCAGGTCGGCTAAATCGGTGACACTAGGACTGTAGGGGTTCGTCCGCCATTGATGGAATCATGAACACGGAATGTTGAAGATGAAACTTTTGGGCTTTCAGTAAAAAAGCCCAATTAAGTATATTTGAATTAAATGATCAATGGATATGTATTCAGCTCAATATTATTTGCTGGCATAGATTTATTAATCTAAAACTAGTTTTTATGTATTGTGGTTTATTAGACAAACGAGTCGATCCTTCAACCGGTTATCCGGGTACTTAAATGTTTAAAACTTTACATGTTAAGTATCAAAATGGGAAATTAAAAGTACGTTATTCAAAATATAAATCAAGTTAAAATACGTTACTTTTTAATGTAATTTAGTTTTTATTAAATATTATTGGTTTAACAACTAATATTTAGCTAGTTTGTTAAACATAGTCTTCGACATTTGATTGATACCATACTACGTATACTTAAGTTATACGCAAAGTCAAATGCTGCATTCATAGGCCATATGTTTGTTAGCAGCTTAATATGACTCATATAACTTATTCGGTCAGTTGTACATGACTATTTGGTAATGATTTGATGATACAGAAAGTGGCTAATTTCAGTAACCTACTAGAGGGAGTTTTATGTAGACGGTCAAGGTTTTTTTCTCCAAACCACTATGTCACTGTTAAAAAACACACTTCTTCCATTTAAGAAAAAATCATCCTCAATCTATACAGACATACAAATCCATACATACAGCTTTATTCATACATGACTTGTGAAAAACCAACAAAACAACCTCTTTTTTTATTAACCTGAATATCCAACCCGCTACGCGAGCGGACTAATCCCAAGGTGACCACCTATTTTGCGGATAGCCCGAAGTCATCGCATTTGAACCCCCGTGGCCACAAGGGGATTTTTATTTCTTATTGGATTTGAACCTAAAACCTCCAGATACTTTTGACCTTTGGAGCCAAGCTCAATCAATCAGGCACCACCTTTGTGGTTCGAAACAACTACTTAGTTGCGTATAATAGTTGCAAAGGAACTATTAGAGGCAACGCAAGTCGGAAAACGTTCTTGAAGTAGCCCTTCTTAATGCATATATGGTGTGTGTATTTTAACGAGCTTGTTGTATAACCCCTGAATGTTTTTAAAGCTTTCAGGCTCTGAGGATGTAATAACCCTTTTGATGTAGTATCGTTCATTGATTTTAAAGCTTTCTTTTTACGTATATGTTTTCTACTAGATTTATAAATTATTAAAATGGTGACATGTCTCCGATGGCACCACATTTGTGCTTGTTGCACGTTCTGGTGCATTTAGCGAAGATGTGAGCTCATCATTCCATGCAGGGGCGAACCTATTAAGCATCAGGTGGCGTTCCGTGCACTCGCTCTACTTATTAGCATAAGTAGGATCCTTTTATTGCACTATGAAACAACACCCGTTAAACTTTGAATGGTGTTATAGAAAATACATGAAACATCAACCAAAAAACTCATTCATCTAATTTTGAATATTTTACAGTTTCTCTCCTAATTTTATCCGCTTATGGAGAAAATTACTGCGACTCCAACAAATTTTTTATAATTTGTTTAATATAGAAAACCAAAAGACTAAATTATTTGCCTCGACATGGTAGGGAACCCGGCTCCCCGATTCGAACGAGGACGGAGATTCCCCTAAAACAGGTCATGGGGATCCTCGGTAGACTCAAACCGGGGTTGGGGCCGGGGCCGAAAATCCCCGGTAGACTCAAATTAACATATATTTTTTCATGGGTTTGACCGATGTTTGACAAATATTTGATCGGGGACAGTATGTTAATCCTCATACTCGCCAGGGATCCGGACGGAACTGGGGGGTGGTACTAAAAACCGAGACCGGGATTATAAAACCTGCTCCATCCCCACCGGTTGCCATGCCTAATTGTGGCCTCTCTTTTGGTATATATACATTATACGAAGTTAATGAAAATTGTACACAGCGGAAACACTACGTCATGCATAGTCACTGATATTTGGACCCAAAATCTCGTAACTCTACAATCACTATTGCTCTCTGCAATTGACGAGCCCTTTGTCCCTTCGGAGCTCTCATCATTCAGGTTATTTCGCCATTTTTCATCATCGTCTTATTGGTTCGGCTGATTACAATTTAGGGTTTTCGTATACGTTTGTATACATGCGCATGTAAGTTTTTGATTACTGATTTCTCCCTTTTGTGCCGCAATTGATTGTTGATTTTGAAATGATGATATTAGATAGGTTTATGCAAGTGTTTTTGGACTCCAATCGGTGGCCTTGGAAAGGAATTGAACCCAAATTAGTTCATAATTTGAACTGGATGACTTCCGATAACAATCCCAAACCCTTAATCCCATGCTGCCAAACTACATCTGGTTTTGTTGTTCTTGTGGGGGTTACTTTGAGTCTTTATGTTTGTTGATCATGTCAACTCAATGATGTTTTCAGCAAAAGTGTCATTGCTGATACAAGATTATATATAGACTTGGGATGACGTGAGACCCGTCTGTTTTTGTGAGACCTGAGACCAGCTTTTTACATTTGAAACTTCACAGCAAAATGCTGTGAAGGTAACCTTCACAGTGTTTTTGCTGTGAAGGTTCGACTTTTTTAAACCTTGACAGTGTTTTTGCTGTGAAGTTTTAAGTGTAAAAATGTGGTCTCACGGGTGTCACGAAAACAGCATGGTCTCACGTGAACCCAACCCTATAGATACATGTGTATATATATATAGTTGTTTGGTAGCATGTGATTAAGGGCTTGGGATTGTAATGGGAAGTCATCTAGTTCAAAGTATGAACTAATTTGGGAACCATTCAACTCCGTTATGTTTTCAGCAAAAGTTCATTGCTGATACAAGATTTATATATACACATGTGTGTGTACGTATATATATAGTGTTACAGGAAGATTTGCATAAGAATTCTGATAAATTGTTGATTCTTTTATATATTGACATTCCAAGAAGATGTTTGTTAAGTTTTTGTTTTTATATTTTACATGCATTTCTTTCAATATAGATATCTAGAATGCCATTAGTTTATGTAAATATATTGTCTGCAGATTGTTCTTATCTCTTCATGGATTGTGGAACATTATAGCTTATTAACATAGGAAGTATTGTTTACCTTTCTTTTGATTTGAGGGATGTTTTGAATTTTGAATTTTGCATTACAGCAGTTTTTCTCATGGCCAAAAGTAGTGGCAAAAAGATCAGAAATGAAGTGCAAGATATAGGCAGATCTTCTGCCAAGAAGTATTTTAGGAAGTTGAAGAAGAATAAATCTATGGATGCCGTTTATTCTGTAGAAAACCGTGCCCTGACTCCTGTCGTTGATGCCCAGAAAATGGAGGAATTTTCCGGTTTTATATTCATGTGTAATGGGAAGACAAAACCCGAGTGTTATGTAAATCGTGTTTTCGGGCTTCCCTCTGGTAAAAGGGAAGTTGTAGAGAAGATCAAACCAGGTATGAAGCTTTTTCTGTTTGATTTTGATGTGAAGCTTCTCTATGGTGTGTATGAGGCATCCTCCAATGGCGCGATGAACTTGGAACCCGCTGCTTTTGGAGAAAGATTTCCAGCACAGGTAAACCTTATGCTGTCTTTGATTTTGTTCACACACGTGTGTGTGTATATATATATATATATATATATGTATATACATAAGAGGGAGAGAGAGAGAGAGAGAGAGAGAGAGAGAGGGAGTTTCAGATACAAACCATAGTTTCAGATACAAACCATTGGTTTCTTACAAACCAATCTTAACTGTCCATCTAGCCTACTGAATATCTGGTTTCATAAATATTTCGGTTGTTTCTTAATCTAAAACAACTATCATAATGAATGAACTCTATCATCTTCCATAAATATCTCAATTATTTCCTAACATAAGTAATGATCATGGTTTGTATGGTATATAAGAATTTCGTTGTTTGTATTTTAAGCCTCCTATATATATATATATATATATATATATATATATATATATATATATATATATAGGAAAAAGATCAAATGAGAACCATAAATATTTTATGAACCATGAGATGTGTATATGCATCAACGTAGTGATGCATATATACTTGCATATCTAGTATATATGCATTGATGAATATACTCATTGACAGAATACATATTCTGATACTGTATATGCATCAATGCATGTACTGGTTCTCATCGTTCTCAAATAGTAAAATCAAATCAAACTAATCGAGTAAATCCCACGCTAAATAGAGTCTGGGGGAGGGTAGGATGTATGCAACCTTTCGTCTACCCCAAGAAGTAAAGAATGAAGACCCTCGACTAACGAAAAAGTCTTGCGAAAAGTAGGACTAACAATAGCAATAAAAGAAGTTTTGACGAGTTAAAAAAAAGCCGACAACAAGACAATAGTTTGCATCATGTTCATCAGGGCATGGATATTATTAGCGAAAAATTGTAATGCTCTTTTGTAAAACTTATTTTTACTGCTTTAATTCATCTCAGGTGAGATTCAGAATTTACAAGGATTGTCTTCCACTGCACTTAAATTCGTTCAGAACTGCTATTAAAGACAATTATCATGGCTCTAAGTTTGCACCAGAACTTAATGGTCAGCAGGTAAAGTCGATTTTTTCGCTTGTTAGTTGATCGGGTTTATCTTGTTTTGCAGTTTTAGTTGTAGATTTGTAATAATTTTGATATCTAAATGCAGGCTATTTGCATTTTGTGACAAAGTTTGCACATTTTTTGCAATCTTTCTTTCATTTTGCCAAATTGCGTTTATAAAACGTCAGCAATTGTATATAATTCAGGTCTTTTGTTGTTTTATATCCAGTTGTATTTTCTTAAAAGAAATACCAACTACTCCCTCCGCCCGAAAAAAGATTGTGGTGGGGATCACGGGCGGATTCAGTAATAGCCTAGGGGTGCACCTTGCCCTATCGTCCTGACACAATGGGAATTTTTTTTGGGGTTTTCGAGGTGAACCCTTTTCAATTTTATGTGTGCTCAACTGACAAAAAGTAGTTGCAGCCTACTGGTAGTGTCATACTGCTTGCAAGTTCGAATCCTTTTGGCTCTTTCTTAATTTTTTGGTAACAACAACAGAAAAGAAGCAAAAAGACACTTGGGTGTTGCAAAACCACCCATATGTCATTTATAATTCAATCTTACTTATTATAATTAATTTTTATATTATTTTACTCCCTTCGTCCCAGAATAAGTGTCCACGATCGAAATGACATACAGTTTTAAACATGCATAATTATTACAGTTTTTAGTTAACCAAATGACAACTTTACCCTTAATTTAATTTCTCTCGCTTCACAACGCATAAATATTTGTGTATTAGTTAAGGGTATATTCGAGAATTTAGTTATCTATTTTTCAAATTGGACACTTATTTTGGGACAAACATAAATAGAAATGTGGATAGTTATGTTGAGACGGAGGCAATAATTATTTTGTGCACCCGTTCATAATTTTTTTGGGTCCGAGCCTCTGGTGGGAATATCATAAAAATCTTATATTAGTTCTTATCGTTTAAATGCAGGTGAGAGACCTTCTATCATTGTTTCGGCCGATCGTTGCACCATCACCTGCTTCAGTACTCCCTTATGGTGCACTCCAACTGCAGATGCCGCCTACAGCAATTAACGTACAGCTAAATTCCTCGTTAACCCCACATTTACAGAATTCGTATCGACCTCATCTGGCTGGACTAATGCATAGTCTTCCGGCCCAACAAGTCATTGGGTCTCAACCCGTTCCTCAAAACATGTTAAATCCTCATTTACATCATCTCCATCCAGCTCCTGGTAATCCGTATCAATGTCCAGAGACTCGACAGGCATACTTCCTTAATGATCTTCCACAGACTATGCAAGAACCATATCCAAGGTATGGAATTCGGTCTTGCGGTACTATGCATTTATGTACATTTTGTAGATTTCTTTTCCCTTTTTAGGGACCATTTACCAAAAGCTTACCTCGTAAGCGTTTATTGGTCACTTATCTTACCGAGGTCAGCATGGCAAGGACCGAAAATCTTCCCCGGTAGGAGGCATGGCAACAACCGAGGCTCTTACCCAAATTAGCGCTTACAAGGTAAGAGACACTTACAAACAATCCATTTTAATGGCCGAGAAAGTTACTCGACAAGGTAAGAGAGGGTGTCGCCTCTTACCTGATAAGCGCTTACCCGATAAGCATTTAGTGTGCGGCCCCTTAGTCTGAGCTTTAGGTTGTTTGAGTGTAAAATGCAACAAAGTTTGGTTTAGTTACAACTTACAGGAGAAAAAGACGAGAAACTTGACATCCACGTCATCAGATGTTACAAGATTAGCAGATTACCGGTCAAAATGGGTACAAAATAGAAATTTTGAAACTTTGCTACAATACTAAATAGTAACCAAGACAAATTTTGATGCATTTTGCCTTTTTTTCATTAAGTTTAAGCTAAAATATGTACTTGCAATATTTCGGCATACAGTTTGAGTCGTCTATATTTGGAAACAAAGGTTTACGGCTTTGGTAAATAATTGAAAAAGATAGAGCAAAAAGAAAGGAGAAAGGTGACCAAAAGAGTTATAGGTCTCACTAGTTTGAGTCATTTATTTGACCTCTTTAGGGAAAAACCGTGTATAAAGCTTTCATCTTAACCCTGGTGCACTGGGGTCACAATTCTTTATAGGGAGGGATTACCTTTTTTTTGGTAACCATGGGTGTCCTGGATTTGCTTAATCCCATGGGGGCCTCTGAAGATGACATCCAGGAAAATCCCCGTTGGCTAGGGTTATATATTTTCATGAGGGTATTTTTGTCATTTTAGGAATATTGGTTGGAACGGAATTCAATTCTGTGTCTTTTCTGAAGGAATGCTGAAATCCATGGTTGAGGGAATGTTAGGAACTAAATTCCATTTCATGGGGTAAACCAAACATCCGGATGGAATTTGGTCAACGGAATTGATTATTCCAATTCCATGACGAACCAAACGCCTCCTAAAAGCATCCACAACGGTGGATTTTTTCGTTGGAGCTTTTTCCAAAAAAAGTGGGACCCACAAGCAAGAATGTGATTTTTGTTGTCGAATAAACAAGCTTAGGGGCAAAAAGCTCAATTGTGGATGCTCTAAGGAGACTTGAGCTGGCGACCTATGAACAGAAGCCCCATGGCCTAGTCTTTATTTGCCATTTGAGCTGACTGTCAAAGTTATGATTGCCGTATTCGGCTTTTTTCTCCAGGGTAGAGGATTACTAGTTTATGTCTTGTTGACGATATTGAATTCATGTATCCCAAAGACACGACATGCCATGGTGCTCGGCGGGGTTTTGCTCATTTCTCGTCGTTTTTAAAATTTTAGAATTACGATATGATTCAAGCTGGTTCTTTCACAGGTATACGACAACGCCTAGGGTGTATCCTCATGGTGAACCGGTTGGGTTGGAGGTTGGATATGATGGTTCAGCCGTAAGAACACAAAGAGAACCTCTTCCAAACCATGTCGGTTACCACAACTTTCAATCTATGCTGACTGCTGCTCATGATCATTCACATGTGAATGCTCCACCTTGCTACAGTGTCCCAGATTCTTCACATGTGCATACCCCACCGTGTTACAGTGGCCCAACGTATCGCCCTCCGCAGCCACCACCATCTGGAGGACCTCAAATGGTGGAGGGAAGCACGTCCTTCTCATCCTATTACTCTCGTTTACTGCACCCATCAAACGTTGACGGATCGCAAAAGATTGACGAATTCAGAACGTATTGATGGGATCGAGTTGCGGGTTGTGATGATGGTTAGATAGAATCGTCGTTAATAGTTATGATGCTAGTTTGCAATTGAATCTTCAAGTAATGCATGACAATTTGAAGAATCATCGCGGGTTTCAAAGGTAACCCGGTTAATATTTTGTGAGTAGAAGCTACGTAATCCCGTTTTGGGATGGTTGATCCGAAGGAGATTTTGTAGTCGTTAGCAGATTTCGATTTTCATGAACGATTAACATCGTGTGTGGATTCTATATTAAGGCGTAGTTTCTTAAACCAAAAACTAAATGAAATCAAACATGCCCGGTATATTCTATCTGGCGAGATATACAGACTTAACCTATACGTTGCAGAGTAGAACAACTATTTCCGTAAAAACCATTGATAATGAAGAGAAATACATAAATGCTAAAAATGGTAGAACTTAATGGTCAGCAGGTAAAGTCAATAAAGATGACACATGACATATGTTTAAATTATAACATAAAGTTAAGGTCTTGTTTAAAAACTCTTATAAACCTTTTATGTCTGATTCGTTAAAAGATAGAATCATTTGGACTGTCTGTTTTTGTCCAATTTTTTAGAGACACTTATGTCTTATTGTCCTATTATCTGATAAGAGGTAAACTAACTTTTTATTTGCCTCTTATTGTTCTTCAAACCCTCAACAACGACGTTTATCAATCGATTCTTACCAAATCAGTCATCATTTCTTTCAATTGATGTACTTTAATAGGATTTAAATGTGTTAAATACCATTAGTGACATGTTTTCGTTTAAATAAATGTTAATTATATAATTTAGATGTAAATTTTGTAATAGGATGAATAAATATGTGAAGTTGTATTAATTTATCTATAAATTCAACAATATAATTTTTTCATGGGTAAAATAGACAATTTAAACATATTCAAACGTTTACAAAAATAAACAGTCTTATTGATTCAGATTTCAGACTTCAGCAACACCTCTTATAAGTAAAAAGTGAAATAAGACTTAAGATTTCAACACCTCTTAAAAAACAAACATCACCTAAATCTTTTTTTATCAATCAAAATTTCAATTTTGCTAAAAAAAATTATATGACAACAGGACAATAAAAGTATCTTTAACAGATTCTTTAAAATGGAGAAAATGCAGATTTTAAGCAAGTATTTATCGTGCAATTCTTAATTCAATCCGACTTCATTCTGATGCATGCCGTTATTGATAACAACACGATGAAACTTAACAAAAAATTTAAACGTATTTTTTCTTGATCGAATCACTTAAATTTTATCATATATTACTGAAAAGATGAACCGAAAACAACAAACTACATACATAGACCCATACGATGGCACATGCCACTGCTTCATAGTACTGTTAAAAAGAAAAAACATATGTTTTTGAATTGTGTCACTGTATTGTTTTATTGGGTGCCACCATACAGTGTTTGAAACTGAAGCTTTGACTTTCCAAAGGTAAAGTTGGTAAATGTTGCTCACTTTGTACGAAAACCATAGGTTCGTGTCCCATCAATGCCCATTTTTTGAGTTTTCAGCTTAACTTTTTGGTGAATTTTATATATTTTAAAAAAAATTATGACCTGGACTCAAACACGAGTTTAGGGGTTTTTCCAGTGCGGTTTAGTGCAATTTGGGGCCGAACCATAAACTGCACTGCATATGTTGTTTGAGCATTTTTCCCAAACCGCATGCAAAATGTGGTGCCGTGCTGTGTGGTTAATGCAGTTTGTACTTTGTACCTGTCGATCTTTATGTCTACAATCCAATAATTATAAATTGCATAATTAAAAAAAATATAAAATATGCGATGCAGTGTGGTGTGAACCTCGGTGTCGGTTTGATAACTCAAAACCACAAACCACACCGCATAGTGCAGTTTGGTAAAAATGCAAACCGCAAACCGCACAACAAATGTTCTAAACCGCGCTTTGCGGTGGGATATGGGTGGTTTGTACGGTTTGGATGAACACCTCTACATGAGTCCTTTCTGTGTAAGGATAAAGAACCAACTAACCAATTTACACTGATACCGTAAAATATTTCAACACGTTTGTTTTTACAGTGAAAACGTAGCACGACCCAAAAAAAATCCTGAGTCCACCTCTACCGTAAAGTAGTCAAGATTTTCTTTTGACTTTTTGACCTTTTACCTTTGAAAACCAGAGTCTAGAGCCATCTTTAAGAAAAGGATTGGAGTGTGATAGCCATGGACCATGGTCTATTTTCAAAGCCGAGTGGCGCACCATTCGTAGCCAGTGGTCCATTACAAACCAACGTAGACCAATCATATAGAGTCCCACTGTGCCAGTGGTTCACACTACTTTTGGGCCTACCACTGTTCATTTTTTTCTAGGGCCCATTTTGACATTTTGACTCTTATTTTCAAAATTACCTTTTCTTAATTATTTCCGCAATTAAAATATTTTAATTTTTATTATAAGGTCAAAAAGTCAAGGTTTAGCGTTGTCGGTTACACGGTATCGTGTTTATTTTTGTTAACTGTAAGCAGAGACGAATCCAGGGATTTTTTTCAAACGGTTGGCACCATTTGACTATAAGGAAAAAAATATACGAAACCTTTTTCAAAATGTGACATCATTTGACTAAGAAGATGACACTAAACAGGATTCAAACTTGGATTTAGGGTGGAATAAAAGCCTTGTGAACCAACTCTACCAAATAAAACTTGTTTTCATTGTCGTCTCAAAATACATATTGTAGCACACCACAAATTAATACGGTTGCACCTTTCACGACCTAATTTTTTTTACTCTTCGACAGARGAATAATACAATGGCACGTGCCACCGTATGCTCCACACCAGGTCTGTCCCTGACTATGAGTGTTTGTGCCAGCATGTGTTAATCACAGGGGCTCTGGAGAACGGACAAGAAAATACCTAGTGGAAAACAATGTATTGTTTTTAACTGTGATTGTCCGAACCAGCTTGTATGCATCTCGACTAATTCTGGTGGTTCTAAGAAACTAGCAAGAAAATTCTCAGTAGCTTTGCAAGACTCGAACAGGTGATCTCTAAGAAGAAACCCTAAAAACAATGTATTTTTGTACTTCAGTTGTTGTATTATCTCACAACTTAGATGATTAAGAGGTTGTTTGTTTACCTCTTAATAGTTCCATTAAGAGGCAATCTATGAATTGTTAAGAGATGAATCTTGTTTGTCAACAAAAGTTTGTCTCTTAATGGTTCTAAAACCCTCTGAATTGTTTTGTAAAATGGGCCTCCTTTAACCATTCAGCGCCTTAATATCATTGTAAATGATTACCAAATAATTATATTTCATTTTACACTATATCATGAAAGTCTCTTAATCATTATGCACCAGACCGTTCAGCAACTGACAAATAACCCCTAAACCAGTTGTGATAACTATGTTCTAACAAACTGGACGCAAAGTATAGTATTTTGCTATTTTTGGTATTTAAAAAATATATTTTCCAGAATGAAAATTGGCTTAAAACATGCTATTATTGTTCTTGTTTTAACCCTTTATACTATAAACACACAAAAGTCTTTATTGGCACGACCTACAACGCTGTGAAAAATATTGATAACATCAGCAAATCAAACCGAAAACTAGTATATTGACGATGACTGGTCGATTTTCATTTGGTTTTTTATATAATCATTAATGTGATTCTGATAAATTTTTCAAAAATATGCAGAATCACAATAAACAGTTAGAATGTCTACATACTCTTAGACAAGTTTCTATAATTCAAACATACCCGAGTCAAATAATCAGCAGTGTTTATTGGGTCAAAGTCGAACTCGATAAAATCTAGCGGAAAAAATGGACCAATCTAAATCGGTCCATATTTGTTTTTATAACTTGTTATCATTATGACGAAATGAAAAACAAAATATTTGGGTGAAAAGTTGATTACGTGTAACCTTAACCGGCCTCACACGGAACCCGCCTCCAAGGACCAATGGCGAAGAGAATTTTTTTGGTTCACTCAGCGGCTAAGATTAGCAGGAGGGGAGGATCGAACTGGAGGTGATCATTTGCGGGTCGAGGATTGGGTCGGGTCTAACTTGTTTTTTTTTTGTCCAACGAGCCTAATATTGTAAACCCAAATCTTTTTTTTCGGACTTGACAACTTGTCACTGCTCACCCTATAAACGATCCAGGCTTGCCCACGGGCTAACGGGCCTAAAAAGTGTAACTCTTAGGGGGCGTTTGGTTCGTAGAATGGAATTCGATAGAATTGGAATTCATCAAATGAATTTGACTTTGAGGGAATGGAATGGAATCTGATGGAATTTGACCATGCCTTGTGATTGCCTTTGGTTGCATGGAATTGGAATGAAATTCTTAACGGAATTGGAATTTTTTTTGTTTGGTTCACGGAATTCAACTTTAGAATCGAAATTAAATATCAACAAATGACTTTTTATGATTTTTTTWAAAAAATTAAAATTACCATTAAACCAAATTACATTATTAACATCAGATAAAATTTGAAATTGTTCACTTATATTACTAATATCTGAAATTTGGATGAGGGCTAAGGAATTCGTAGGAAAGGAATTTGAAATCCTTGGTGCATCAAGTGAAATCGTGAAATCGGTGACCGAATGAATTTGTAGGAATTGAAAGGATTCATTCACTTATAATTTGTGAACCAAACATCATATTTGGAATTTGGTCAAAAGATTGGACATTCCAATTCCTTTCAATTCCACCAAATTCCCGTGATCCAAACAACCCCTTAGTTAACAAATGTGGAACCAATAGGTAAAGGAAAAACACTGTTGTAATTATAATTTAAAGCAACTACTGACTCTATACATTGTTGATCGATTAGAATTTTTAACATAAGGATGCTAAAAAAGATAATGTAGAACATTTTGAGTTCTCAAGAGTCAAGAAAAACCAAAGAGTCCTAACTCTCATCCTATAACTTTAATGATATAATTTTAAAATATACTACTATAATTTTAATTAACGGTAAAAAAAATAATCATAAAACATAAAAGAGCTGGGCAGGCCTGACCATATTTATTTTTACATTGTTCATGTCCGCCTGTTAATTTTAACGAACAAACCCGGACCCGATTTTCTCGATAATGGTCGTTCAAACATGTATTTCTAGCGGGCCGGATGGGCCAGGTCTAACGGGTAGTCCCGCTCATGAACAACTCTATATTGAACCCAAACCTTATATTGTATTCAAGTAAAGTAGCATTTTCTTTTTGTCAACTGAGTTACACATGATAAGCAATTGAATATAATGTTTTATTAAAACATTATTTGAGTAAAATATTTAT